TAGGGTCTCGGTGGCTGAGCTGCAGACCCATCCAGAGCTGGACACGGATGGAGATGGGGTGCTGTCTGAAGGCGAGGCCCAGGTACTCAACCTGCCCACAGACCTGGTGACATCAGGACAAAGGAGTGGGCAGGCCAACGGGCAGCTCTGGTGGAAAGCTCCCTGTTGACCCCGGCCAGGGCTGTTGGGGCACCCAACAATAGCTGGTGGTGGCTGCCCAGGGTCACCTCTCCCCATCTGGTGGGGTCCAAGAAAGAGCCAGGGCAGGGGAGAGCCGGCTTCCCACTTCTGTCCCCACCCCGGGCATCCTGCTGGCTGGATGCTCGGCTTGCCCTGTCCACCCCAGCCTTTGGCCATCTTCCCCTCTACTCTCCAGCTGCTCCTTGTCCCTCTCTCTGTTCCTGCCCACGCCTGGGTCCTTCCCTGTCACCCCTTGGCTTGGCCTCAGAGGCCTGGCACGTGGTGCTCAAGCTGTCTCTGGGCTTTCTGCTCCTTCTGGCTCCTCTGACCTTCTCCGGAGTCCCCAGGCCCAGCCCTGCCTTGCTCCTCAACAGGCCTGTGCTGCCCCCTTCCGGCCACAGCACCTTGCTTGCTGAGACTGGTCCCCAGGCCTCAGGGCCCCACAAGCCGGTGCCTAGCACCACTGTCTGAAGCCCCAGTGCCGGGTGCTTGGGAATGGGCAGTGGAAGCCCAGTCCTGACCCCGCTTGCCACACAGGCCCTCCTTGGTGGGGATGCACACACGGACGCCAGCTCCTTCTATGACCGTGTATGGGCCGCCATCAGAGACAAGTATCGGTCTGAGGTCAGTATGGGAGCGGGAAGGGAGGCCGTCCTGCCCCTGCCCTGCCCCCACTGCCTCACAAAGGCATGGCCTCCAGTCCTGGCCCACAGCCACCCTGGCCAGCTGGACAGTCCGCGTGTCTTCTAGAGGTCCCCCCCCCGTCATCTGTCCCGCCCTTCCTCTAGAAGGGTGGGGCACTGGCCATGATGGTGTGAGCAGGTGCCCGTGTCCTCAGCACCCGACTTCTGCCTCCCTGCCAGGTGCTGCCCACGGAGCTGCCAGAAACTTCATCCCCTGACGTGTCGCAGCCCAAGGAGGAACAGCAGCCATCAGTGCACTTGCTGCCCACAGAGGAGGAGGAGGAGGAGGAGGAGGAGGAGACGGAGGAGGAAGAGGAGGAGGAGGAGGAAGAGGAGGTGCAGGGGGAGCAGCCCAAGGTGTGTGTGGGGGCGCAGGGGGCAGAGGGGGCGGGGCCAGGCTGCCGCTGACGCCGCGCTTCCCCAGGAGGCCCCACCCCCACTCGAGACCCCGCAGCCGGCCAGCCCCACCGAGGAGGACAAGATGCCACCCTATGATGAGCAGACGCAGGCCTTCATCGACGGTGAGGCCCCGACCTGGGCCCTGTGGCCACCTCCAGCAGCCTGGCCCTGCCCCTTGGGAGTGGAGCCGGAGCTGAGCCCCACTATCCTCCTTTCCCTGCAAGGGCTGAGGCCCAGGCTGTGCCTGTCACCTGCCCTAGGATGGGATACCTCCCAGTAAGCCCCGCACACTGAGGCCTGCAAAGGCTCCCGCCGGCCCCAGGGCTCTGCCTGCCTCCCCAGGGCTGCAGCTTGTTTGTGCCACCCCTGCAGCCGCCAGCAGCGGGTGCACGGGAGCCCGGCAGGTCCCTCAGGAGCCAGGCGTCTTAGCAGCAGGAGAGGCCTTCCCTAGGCCGCCTGGGTCCACTCTGTTCCACCCTTGACCAAGTTAGACCCAGGCAGCAGGGGGATGCGGGCTCGTCTGTGGCACCCCATTTTCCGTCTTCCTGGGTGGAGGTCACCACTCTGACCTCTGCTCCCTCCCCAGCTGCCCAGGAGGCCCGCAACAAGTTCGAGGAGGCTGAGCGGTCCTTGAAGGACATGGAGGAGTCCATCAGGTAGCCAGGCCTATGTCCAGGGGACGCAGAGCCACACCACCTGGCTCCCTAGAGGAGGCAGATCCCGGAGCCATGAGGCAGCTGGGCACTGGCGGGCCTGGCTTCTGCCAGTGGGGGGGGCTCCCATGTTGGTCCCTGTGTCCTTGGCTGCCCTTCACATGCCTCCTCTTCCAGGAACCTGGAGCAGGAGATTTCCTTTGACTTTGGCCCCCACGGGGAGTTTGCCTACCTTTACAGCCAGTGCTACGAGCTGACCACCAACGAGTGAGTCCTGGGCCCATCCTGGGCCCATCGGCCAGTGCAGGGGGCGGTGGCTGAGTGCAGGGGCTAGCGAGCCGGTGGCAGGGATGGGCTGCCCTCCTCATCGATGGGGACAGAGGCCAGGCTCAGTGTGATTTGAGGCTGTGAGCCCCTTGTGTGCAGGGGTTCCCATGACCCCTGACCCTTCAGCCCTGTCCCTCCACAGGTACATCTACCGGCTCTGCCCCTTCAAACTCGTCTCACAGAAACCCAAACTCGGTGGCTCCCCCACCAACCTTGGGTGAGTGTCCCAGGCCAGGGCCTCCTCCCTCCCTCCTCCCCAGCTGCAGACCCTCAGCACCTTGCTCTCCCACAGCACCTGGGGCTCGTGGGCAGGTCCAGACCACGACAGATTCAGCGCCATGAAGTACGAACAGGGCACGGGCTGCTGGCAGGGCCCCAACCGCTCCACCACCGTGAGTGCCCGACGCAGGGGGCTGTGGGTGGGAACCCACGCCTGGCCACGCCCGCCCGAGCCTCCCACCTGCCTTTTTCCCAGGTGCGCCTGCTGTGCGGGAAGGAGACCGTGGTGACCAGCACCACAGAGCCCAGTCGCTGTGAGTACCTTATGGAGCTGACCACACCTGCAGCCTGCCCGGAGCCACCCCCAGAGCCACCTGCCGAGGGAGACCACGACGAGCTCTAGCTGGGCAGAGGTGGGCAGGGAGATGGGGTCTCTGCCCGCCCGAGTGTGGGGACATTGCGCTCTCCTGTCTCCATCTTCTTTGTTTCTGTTCTGCGGTGCTGGGCGGAACCCAGGGCCTCGCATTTGCTGGGCAGCTGCTCCCCCCAGCTGCACCCCAGCCCCTCCCTCATTCTAATTTGTTCTTTCTCCCACTCTAGAATGTCAAGGCAAGAAACCAGCCCCCAGCAGTGCCGCACACCTGCCCTTCGCTCTGTGGACCAAGGCCTGCCCCCTCGGGTCCCTCCCCCTCCCGTGGGGCAGGAACCTGATGGGCTCCCCCTGCTCCAGGGCCCAGGTGGGGCAGAGCCAACTCCCGGCCCGAGTGGCCTCCAAAGACGGGGTAAAGGAACTGGCCCTCATTGTCCCCCACCCTGGTGGTGTGCCCCTCCATCCCATCCTGCCCCCCCCTTTCTCCCCTGGTGGGGACAGTGAGTGACTTGACCTGTGTGACCTTGAAACAATAAATGTGACTTCTCTCCAAGCCTGGTGATGTCTGCTTACTCTACCAGGGTGGGAATGGGGTGGGGTGAGGGAAGGGGACGCAGCCATCTTAGGTAATGCCTGGCCTCCCTCCTCATTAGGGGACACTGCAGCCCAAGAGATCCATGAAGATGGCCTACAGGGAGTACAGTCCAGCAGCAGGGGGTGTAGACCCTGGGCTTCCATCTGTGCCAGTCTTATCCTCTCTGATCTTGTCTGTGCCATGGGTAGGCCAAGTTTCCCTCCCAGGGCAATGAGACCCCGGCCCCGAGAGGGACAGCAGCCTGTGCTCACCTCTCAGCACAGCAGCATGAGAGAACCTCACCCATCCCTGTTTGCCAGTGCACAGACACCCGACACCTTAAGATTCTGAACTTTTATTTTCTGGCATGAAAAGTACAAATAATTAAACAATTCCATGTAAAAGTCTGTTACCGCGGCCAGGCCTGGAATCCCGGTAATAAATAGTCTAAACGCAACGCAAAGTGTTCTTGTTGGTTTGTTTTTTTTTTTTGTTTTTTTTTTTTTTTTTAACAGTTCTTTATCACCTCCAACATGGACTCTGTCGTGATTTGAAACCTTCCGAATAAATAACAGGATGAAGGGAGGGTTGGAGGGGCTGAGCCTCCTCCCCGCTGGCCCTGCCCCTGACCCCCAGGGACCTGGAAGACCGAGGCCCCCCTCTCCTGGGAGCCCTTGGCCTGGCCCCCTGGGGGGAGGGGCTGGCCTCCAGGGAGGGGGCCTGGCTGGGCTGAGCTTTGTGTTTTAGAAAAAGAAGTCCCCTCCCAGTCTTGGGGGTGGCAGGGCCCTGCCTAGGCCTCGGTGGGGGGTGTGGGGAGGTGCCCCCTCTCCAGAGCCTGGCCCCCCCAGGGTGGGGGACAAACCCAGCCCTTATTGCTCGGATGCCTCCAGCATGTGCGGAGGGCAGAGGGGAGAAAGCCCCAGAAACAGCAGGGAAAGAGGGGGTGGACCCCTTAAGGGGTCCCTGCCCTGCTGGAAGGGAGGGGGAAAGGAAGGAGGACTTAAAACCACAAGAATAAATAGGTTTGTGTATCATGAACAAGCTAGGGGTTTCACCAGCTAAGAGGACTGAAAAAATTCTCAAGACAAGAGCAAAAATAATCCCATTGAGACCCCCGGACGTCGCTGGCCATGGGGTCTGACCCACAGAAGCCCACGCCCCCCGGGTGCCACTCGGCTACCGTTACTGTTATTAATAATTATTATTACTTTAATGATTCCACTTCCCCTTTTATAAATAAATTAGGCATAACCACATCTCGGCAAAACTTAAAGAAACAAAGAGAACATCATCGTTCCTTTAACTTGCAAACTGGATGAAGTAACAGAAATATACACAAATCTCCTTACAGGGCAACAGGAATAATAAATAGTTAACATAGCAATAAGTTAAAACTACAAGAAGCTAAATTCAGCAAAAAAGTACAAGAAAGTTAACTGGTGCCAGTTTATGTCTTTTTTTTTTTTTCCTTTTTTTAAAATCTCTTCTGTGTGTGGTTTTTTTTTTTCCTCCTTTTGGTGCCTTTTTTTTTCCCCCCGTTGGGTGGCCTTTTTTTTTTTTTTAATTTTGTCGCTTTTTTGACGTTTTTTTTTTTGTTTTTTTTTTTTTTTTCTTTTTGTTCCTTGCAGCAGAAGCTCCACAGACGTTTAAGAACAACACCGGGAGGGGTGGGGAGAGAGAGTTGGACGTCCAGATGGGGCCATGGCCAGACACCAAACGCAGAGGACACCGGGAGAAGGCAACTAGAACTAGTCGGGGGGCTTTGCAATTTTCAGTTCTGACTGGGCCCACTGAGGGGTGGGTGGGGGCTTTGAGGGCTCCCGGGGGCTCCAGGCTTTGGCTTCTGTTGGAATTTCTTAAAAAGAATGAAAAGGGAGGCAGGAGCAAAATCCAGACAGAAGCCAGGGCTGGAGCTCCAGATGGGGGCTTGTCCACTGCCCTCCCCAACCTGGAAAGACACAAAACCCAACAAACCAAAAGGGGTAACGAGTGGACGGGAAGGGACATGGGGCTGGGCCGCAGGGCCCATCCACCCTGGGCCTGGCGGGTTGCTGGGTGCTTGCTGCTGGGGAAGCCCAGCCCTGGTTGGGGGAGGCTCAGGGCTGGGCCTCTCCCTCAGCCCAGGGAGGCTGAGCCCCAGGGACAGGGGGTCCTTTGGCCTCAAGTGTTGTGGGGGGTGGGGACTGCCTCCAGCCCACCATGATGCCAAAGTGGAACGAGGTATTGTGTGTCTGGATGCATGGACACTGCGTGTGCACGCCTGTTGGTGGGCAGCAGGGAGACCCCTGATGAGCCAGGAGAGAGCTGTGCAGAGAACCTGGGGTTGGGGCACGTTGGAGCCAAGGGGACTCTGGGAGGGGGGGGCCGGGCCAGCCTGGAGGAAGTGACAGGGTCAGGGCCGGGGTGGGATCTCTTGCTGGGCCTGTGGGGTGCTGTGCATGTGTTCCTGGGTGTTTGTGTCTCTGTGACCAGGTGTCTAGATCCACACATCCAAGCAGACCTGTGTCCACGATCGTGTGTCCGTGTGGACCTGTGGGTGTGCTGGCACGCCTACATGTATGTATGGCCACCTTCGTCTGTGTCCACATGATATACCCCTAAACCTGACCCCTTCTTTGTCGAGGTTGACCCCTGTCCACGTGTCTGGGTTTGGCCAGAGAGGTCCTGAATGACCTCTGAGTGTGTCCGTGCCTGTCTCTGCCCCTGTGGTGTAAGCATGTGCCCCTGCATGTCTTCGTGTGGCTGTTCCTCTGTGTGTGGCCCTGTGGACTCCCGGCCCCTCAGCCCTGCTCCCCACACCCCTGCCCCAGTTGGTAAACATAACCTGCCAAAATAGTTTCTTTTTTTTTTTTTTGTCTTTTTTTGTGATTTTTTTTTTCAAGTTCAAGAATCCCCAGTAAAAATTCTCCACGAGGTCTTTTTCCCTTTTTACAAAAATAGAGTTTTTCTTCCCCTCCCACCCTCCCCTGTTTTTCATTTTGTTTCTGCTTCCAGCCCCGCCCCCTGCTCCCCGAATTCCACCCAGGGGCTCTGGGGGGCTGGGAATGCCCACACCCCTCTTCATGTTTCACTTTTTTGGGGATTTTTAAACCTGTTCCCTCCCCTCTCTCTCCAGGCCCACCGACGTGTTGGGAAGCCTGGGCAAAGGGGCCTGAGAGGGCACCCCGTGTCCCCCAAGCCATCCCATGGAGGGGGGACTGGGGGGCTCGTCTCTGCTTTCTTTTTAACCGAGAAAAGAAACAATAACCTTCACCATGAACCAAACCAAGACGAGAGAGTGAGCAGCCCAGCCTGGGATGGGGGGGCAGGGAGAGCGGAGTGGGGGACCCCCGGGCACCCCCTCCCCTGCAGACCCTCCTGCTCCCCGAGTGCTCACCCTGTGGCTTCGTAGGGCTGTGGGTCTGCCTGGGCTCTCTCTCTCGGGCCCCTCCTCTCTCTCTCTCTCTCTCTCTCTCTCTCTCTCTGCTGCCCGGGGCGGGGGCGGCGGGGCAGCTCAGGCCTTGTGCTGTTTGCTGGTCTTGAAGGACACCTGCAGCACGCGCTCGCCCAGGCGGTAGCCGTTGAGGCTGGCGATGGCCATGGCTGCCTCGTCATAGTTGGTCATGGTGACGAAGCCGAAGCCCTTGCACTTGTTGGTGGTGAAATCGCGAATGACCTTGACATTGGTGACTGCCCCAAAGGGCCCAAACAGCTGCCACAGCACGCTCTCATCGGCCTCCGGAGACAGGTTGTACACGAAGATGCACCAGCCGGCACCGGCCGCGCCCCCCGACAGGCCCACGCCCGCCAGGCCACTCATGCCATCGATGGCGATCGGCGAGAACCTGGCGATGAGCGACAGGGGACTACTTTGGGGGTCACGCGGGCTCTGCCCTGATCCCCAGCATGCCTCCGACCCCACCGGGACCGTGGGATGCCCTGGTGCCACTGGGACTCTTCATTGGGCCTGCTGTGTGTTTGACCCTGTGCTGTCCTGACCTTGCAGTGACCCTGTGGCCTCTGACTCTGACCTGGAGACACCAGCTCTGATCTCAAACTTGTCTGGGCCTCAGACCCTCCCTGAACATTAGGCTGAACCAACCCATGATCTGCTCCATCTGTAGCCACCCCATGACCTTTGACCCTAACTGGTCCTGGGCCCTGTAGATCGCAACCCTAATGCGCCCTCGCTGCCTCCCTTCCCTCAGTCCATCCTCCCATCCAACTTCTTCCCTCGCCCTAACTCTGACTCCGTTCTGACACTACCTCGGGCAACTCTGCCCCCATTTCCCCACCCCCCAGGCACCCTCACCTGGCTGAAGACCCACTTTGGAAGAACAGGGCTGAGTGCTGGCACATGAACACAGGGGGTTCAGAGCCTCTCCTCCATCTCAGCATAGGTAGCACCCCCTCAAGGTGGCCTCCTATGTCTCCATAAAGGGGCCCACCTCCTCATCCTTCTGCCCCTTTCCAGGATTTTCCTACTCAAATCATATACAGTGGTCCCCCTTATCCAGAGTTTTACCTCCTGCAGTTTCAGTTACCTGTAGTCAATCTTATTTTGAAAATACTAAGCAGGAAATTCCAGAAATAAACAACTTAGAAATTTTAAATTGCACACTGTTCTGAGTATCAAGGTGAAATCTCATCCTGTCTTGCCCAGGATGTGATTTATCTCTGCCCAGTGTATCCACACTGTATCCCACCCATTAGTCCCTTAATAAACCATATCAGCTATCAGATCAGCTGTCTTAACGTTGCAGTACTTGTGTTCAAGTAACGCTTCTTTTTCTTAATGACCCCAAAGTGTAAGAGTAGTGATGTTGCAATTCAGATATGCCAAAGAGAAATGATAAAGTTTCTTTAAGCAAAAAGGTGAAAGTTCTCAACTTAAAGAAAAGAGAAAAAAACACTGCTGAGGTTGCTAAGATCTATGCTAAAAACAAATCTATCCATGAAATCGTGCGAATTTTTCTGTAGCATCTCACACTACAGAAGTCACAACCCCAGTGTGTAAATACTTGTTAAGTGAAAACATTCCATGGTATCCCTATGTATGGGAGAACAAGGGCCATGTGGGGCTCAGCATTATTCATGGTTCCAGGCGTCTGCTCCCAGGGGGTAAGGGGGATCGCTGAACTACTATCAACTCCACATTCTTCTGCTAGAATCTACTCCCTGGCACACTACAGCTCTAGAACAGCACCCAGGAGATATTCAGGAGGTGTTTAAGTGAATTAATGAACCGCTCTCGAGGTTCTGAAGGAGGGAACTACTGAAAGGACAAAATTGCCTCCCTGGCATTCTTCCTGTCCCTGACCTTCAGAATTAAATCACTCAGCTTTTGGTGGCAGGGGTAGGAGGGACCCTAAGAGCTGAACTATTTACCCCTGACTGCCTGGGCCTCACTGCTTGCTCCCTCGCCTGGGCCTTTGCCCAGCCTGCTCCCGCTGCCAGGGACTCCACTACCAGGCCTCCGTTCCAAGGTCGCCTAGAGGGCTGGGTCTCTGCTGGCCCAAGCCCCTCATGCCGTCCGTGCACAGTCCTGATCTCTGTCTCTGCCTCAGTCCTGCTCATTTCCCATCTCTCTCCCCCCTAGACTAAGGTCAGGAACAACAGTGACAGTAGTTGTCAGATGGCCACCTTTTATTGAGTGCTCTCTATGTGCTGAGCACCAGCTCAGTGTCACTTCACCTCCAGGACGGACAAGGTCTGACCCCAACACACTAGTCTCCCACCCCAAGGCAAGTGCCCACCTCTCAGCATGCCCTGGGCGGCCTGTGGAGCAATGACCATGGGGACTTCCACAAGATCCATGGTGCGGGGGCCACAGGTCTACCCCAACTTTGGAGCAGGAGGGGGTCATTCTTGGACCCTTGACGCCTATGATCAACAGTGGCCAGTGGATCCGGGGATCTCATGTGGGGCCAGGGGGTGAGCTCGTACCCAGGCAGCTCTGCTTGCCTTTCATCAGAATGGGAAGAAAAAACGGGAGGGCGCGGGCCGCCCCCTGGACCCACACTCCAGAGCAGCTCTGTGGACACTGACAGCCCCCGAGAGGCAGGGAGGTCCCGAGGGTCAGAGCCGGGGTCTGCCTGGTGTCAATCTCTTAGTGGCCATGCTGTTCCTAAGCAAAAGCAGACAAGGCTACGCTGGTGGTCCTGGGGCAAAGTGCAGTGGGGTAGGGGAACAGCCGGGCAGGGGTCCAGGGAGGGACGGTGAGGGGATGGGGCAGTGGGGCAGGGGCACTGTTACCTCTTGACTCCGTAGGCCATGTTGAGCAAATTGTCCAGCCTGTGGAGGCAGAAGTGGTGGTCAGAGGTGGCCACTGGACACACCCCGCTGTAGTGACGCCACAGGCTGGCCTGTCCTCCCCACCCCCACCAGGCCAGCCTGTGGCAGAGCCCTGCCCCCGCCCGCTGCCTGCTCCCCGCCCGGCTGGACACCGCCTGGCACGGAGCGGCGGTCACTCGGGCACCGCCTCTCGCCTGCCCTGCTGCTGCCCGCCTGCCCAGGCGTCCTCATCCTCCCCCTCCCTGCTGGCTGGCGGGTGCTGTCTGGGCCCAGGACTCGGTCTCTCTGGGAGGGATAAATCCTCAGAGAGGCAACAATAACAGCATAGTCAGCTCTGCTGGAGCACTTGGAGGGTGGGTGACTGGCCACGGCCACCCAGGTCCATGAGGAGCTCTCATTGTTCCCCCTGTGATGCCTGTCTGCACCTCAGGGTCCTCTTCCATAAAAAGGGGGAAATATAAGTTCTGTTCTCATGAGGCTGCTGCACCTCCGGCAACTCAGAAGGCTGAGGCAGGAGGACGCAAGTTCAAGACCAGCCTCAGCAACTCACCTAGACCTTGTCTCAAAGTAAAAAATAAAAAGGGCTGGGGATGTGGCTCAGCGGTCAAGCGCCCCTGGGGTCCATCCCCAGGTATCAGAGAGAAAGGGAGAGGCTGGGAAGAGCTCCTGGGTTCCCTTTCCAGTACCTGATCGTGACAATGCCCCACAGTGGCCGCAGGGCACGGCTGTGCGGAGCCTGCCCCGGGCCTGCCCCACCCACCTTTCTGCCTGCTCGGCTGTGGGGGGAGTGGGGTTCGGGGTGGGGCCGGGACCCCGGGGCTCACCGGAAGCGCTGCGTCTGGTGGTGCAGGGGGCCTGCGTAGCGCCGGGCCGAGGACTGGTAGAGGTGAGTGAGCAGCGCCTGCCCCGTCTTCTGACTTGGATTATTGGCGAACTTGACCGTGATGGGCTCCGCCGCTCCCAGCGGCTTCTGCCCGTTCAGTCCTTTGATGGCCTCCTCGGCCTCGATCCTCTTGTCAAAGCGGATGAATCCCACACCCCGAGAGACACCTGCCAGGGGTGAGGGCGCCAGTCCCGAGTCCCGCCGACCCACCTCTCGCCCCGCATTGCCCGCGCCCCAGGGCCTTTGCCCGCGCCCCAGGGCCTTTGCCCCGCTCCCGGTCAGGCGCACCCTCCCGCAGCCTGACCTGTGACCTGGTCCACCAGGATGCGAGAGGTGATGATGCGGCCGTACTGGGAGAAGAGCTGCTCCATCTCTTTCTGGCTCATGGTCTTGGGGAGCCCGCTGACGTACAGGTTGGCATCCCGGATGGATGCGGAACTGGGTCTGGCATAGGACACCTGGGTGGGGGGACATCGGATGGACAGTTAGGAATGGTCCGTGTCACAGAGCTGCGGAGACACCTCTCTAGTGTCACTGTGGGGCCAGGTGGCCCGGGGGAGGGGCGTGGCTGTGGCTGTGCCTCGGTGGTTTTAGGGAGAGTGGGGAACAGGAAACTGTCACCTGAGGACGTCAGGATGGCCCCGCGGCTCGGGTCACAAGTCCTCTGGGGACCTGCAAGCATACTTATTACCCCATCCACAAACTTTGATTTTCCCCTCTCCCTTGGAGAGTGGGCCCCTCACTACACTGGCTCCTCGGGGTCATTCAGGGCTTCGGCTACCAGCTCCACGCTGCAGACTCCCAGGTGTTCCCCAACCAAGTCCTTGCCCCTGATCTGTAGACTTCTGGGGCACCCGGAGGCAGAGGGTGACCCAAGTGATGGCAGTTCTGTCCTCCTGATGCTCAAGCCTCCAGCCTTGGGTGTCTCAACACCTCTCTGTCCTTCACTCTTTGAATCCACCATAAACCCTGTTGGCTGCACCTTCCTAATTATCTGGAATCTGCACACTCCCGACTTCCACCCTAGCCCAGCTCCACCATGGACCTGTGTTCAACCTTCAGTATGTTCCCCCAACAGCAGCCAGAGGGCGCCTGTGAACACTTGAGCCCCGTCAAGTCCCTCCTCCACACAGAACCCTCCATGGCTCCCACCTTCCTCAGCATTAAAGCTAAATTTTTTCCTGTAGCCCACAAGGCCTTGCACACTCTGCCCTACCACTAATCTGCCTTCATCTCCCCCACTCCTCCCCTTGTTTGCTCTGATCTAATGACACAGTGTTCTCCATTTTTCTCAAATACACCCCGCAAGTTCCAGCCTCATGCTCTTCTCTCTGCCTGGAATGCTCTTCCCTTTCCTTCTTTTCCAGGTTTCAGCTGAAACATGCTCCCTGTCCCCTGCCATCTGAGTGTGGTCCCCATCCCCACTTCTAATGCTCTTTCTCAAAGTACTCTTCTCAGTTGTGAGTTACCCATGTGGGTCCTATCATTCAAGTCGCGTCATTAATCAGGGTCCAGCTCAACACTGAAACTCTCTCAGCTGTTTTGAAAATGGTGGACGGGTACATTATTTTCCTGAAACAGTGGTGAGTATTGTGAAGTGGGGGAAAGAAAAGTCCATTTACAAAGCAGCAGCACTGTGTGACCCCGTCTCACTGCGTGTTTATCCATGGGAGCTGTGGCCTGGAGGCCCCGCCCCCGGAGGCTCGCTGGATGACCTGCCACTGTGGGGCTCCCCTCCCCCTTATTTCTGCTGATGTCTACTTTCTATTTCTTCTAAATCAACATCTGCTTAGGGAGTCACTGTCAAGGGTCTGGCTTTTGTTGGGGGCAGTGAGTTGTGAAGGTGTATGGCTTCATTGAAAATAGCTAATTTAAAAAATGAGGGCTGGGGATAGAGCTCCGTTGGTAGAGCGCCTGCCTCGCGTGCCCAAGGCCCTGGGTTCAATCCCCGGCACCACAAAAAAAACAAGACAAAACAGAAACCCATAAGAACAAACAAACAGAAAACAAATGAAGTGAGTTTGGGTTCGGGTGGGCCGAGGGGCTGGATTCTGATTACTGCAGTTGCATGCACCTGGGGTCCTCTAGCAACAGACATGGGCCACTGTCATTTCTACAATAGTAACTTTTAAAGTCACAGTCGTGGAGCTGGGGCTGTGGCTCGGGGGCAGAGCGCTGGCCTAGCTTGTGAGAGGCCCTGGGTTCCACCTGCAGCACTGCAAATAAATAGGCAAATAATAAATAAAAACTGAAAAATCACAGCCACGAATCTGAGGGTTTTCTTTCTCTCCCGCAGGGCTGGGAGCTTTGAAGGGCGAGGGTTAACTCATGGATCAGCTTTGAGGGGAGAAGAGGGGCTTGAGCTTCGGGGTAGGTGCTGGGCTCCCCGAGGGCAGGCAGAGGTGGGCCAAAGTCCTCCCAGGATGAGACCTGGCACATGAGGCACTCAAAACACTTTGGTCCAAGTCTTCCGGGGCGACCAGTCAGCCCCAAGTTCACAGGATCGTCACGCAGGCAGGGACACACACAGGGACCGTCCCACAGAAGGCCAAGAAGCACCGCCCTGCATGGCACAGGGACAAGCCAGCAGGAGGCTGTCACAAGGCCCTCCCCATATTCATGATGACACAGGAGGCTTCAAGAACTACAGTAAGAGTCCACGACTGACATGCCAGTCGCCCACCGTACAAACACACCAGGTTGCACACTTTCTACCCCAACACAGGGCACAGGTAGACACACCCACACAATGTCACCATGACAGACACCCGTGGTGCCCTACTGGGTCACTGTGGGAGCTGCAGTATGTCACTAAGCACCTGTCACAACAACACCAGATCTACAGACCCACGGGGACCACTGCAGGTCTTCACCACCCAGACCAAGGATGGCAGCCACTTGACTGATACCATGTCACAACCACCACATCACTAACCTGTTTCATGGCTCCGGGTGACACACACAGCCGCGTACAAACACAGTCAGTCACCAGGGTCCACCCTCATGCCCCCAGGGACCTCTAAGCCAGTTGGCCATGGAGAGGCCCTTTGGGTCATGACCCCATCTCCTCAGCCCCCAGCGAGGGAGGGCAAGAGATTCCTGCACCTCTGTTCCCATGGCAAACTGGGGGCCAGATGGGCAGCCCCCACCCACCTCCCCCAGGGTCCAGGAGCAGATTTGCAGGGCGGAGCCCACACCCCCCCAGGCGGACTCAGAGAAGGGTTTCCATGGTGATCCCCCCCCAAGGGAACCTGGGCTGGTAGGGTCCCAGCTGCAGCTGCTGAGAGTGGAGGCCATGGGGGAGGGGCATTGCACAAAGGTGGGGGAAGGGCCTCTCTAATCCCACCCTCCCAGACCCTAATTAGGCCCCAGATGGCAGATGGGCCCCCACCCCCATTTCCAGGACAAAGACAGGGAGGGGGCTGCCCAGAGGACCCTGGTTACCCTGCCCCACCTCCAGGCCTGGCTCACTTCCCCAGGCTCCAGAGAAGGTAGGGCTTATACTCTCCCCATTAACAGGTACAGAAACTGAGGCTCAGAGAAGGGAAGGCTTCGCCAGTGAGCCAATCAGGAAGGAGAGACTCGGGCCTGGCCCCTTGGGGATGGAGGGTGGGCAACACCGAGGGGCGGTGACTGTCGGCTGGTGAGAATAAAGACACTGACCTTGATGGTCTTCGTCTGCAATTTGAGGCCGTTGAGGGTGTTGATGGCTTTGTCTGCATCGTTGGGGTCAGAATAGTTCACAAACCCGTAGCCGAGGCTCTGCCCTGTGGCAGGACCAGGGTAATGACCTTCCTGCCCAATGCTGGGGTTTGCCAGTGTCCCCTCAAGCTTAGGCCTGAGAGGCTGACCCTCCCCACCCCACACCACCTTTCCCTGTCCCCCATGACACCTTCGACCCCAGAGTCCCACTGGCCCCCACTCCTCCTAGGGTAAAACCTGTCCCTTCACACCTCTCTCCTCCCGCCTCCCACCCTCCCACCTGCCAGGAGCCACACCTGTGATCTTGTCCCGAACCAGCTTGCAGGACTCGATGTCACCAATGCTGCCGAAGAGACTCTTGAACTCATCCTGGGTCATGTTCTGGGGCAAGTAGTTGACGATGAGGTTGGTCTTGCTGTCATCAGTGGCTCCGTTTGTACCAAGGAGTGGCCCGTTGGGCAGGGCCGGGCCGGCCGGGCCCCCCCCCACCTGAGACTCCATGGCCCCCAGTATCTGCTGGAGACAACAGGTCACACCGGCTCACCGCCCTGTCCCCACACCAGGGGCCAGCAGGGACACGGAGGGGCTCAGTGGTCATGGGTCAGCCATGTCTGAGGGGACTTGATTACAGCCAGGGGACAACGTGTTATTTGCTTGTGTGTGTGTGTACGCACGTGCACAGTACCAGGGACTGACCCCACAAGCAAGGCAAGCACCCTACCACTGAGCTGCACCCCCAGCCCTTTTTAAATTTTGAGATAGCAAAGGGCCTCACGAAGTTGCTGAGGCTGGCTCCGAACTTGTGACCCCTCTACCTCAGCCTTCCAAGTAGCTAGGTTACAGCTGCGCACCACCCGGCCCAGCTCCAGCTCCCAACACATTATTTTTTTTTTGTTTTGTTTGTTTTAGTTGTAGTTGGACACAATACCTCTATTTTTATTTATTTATTTATGTATATGAGGTGCTGAGGATGGAACTCAGTGCTCTACCGCTGAGGCATAACCCTGGCCTGACAGCACATTATTCTTAATAATTCCTTGTATTTACTGGGAAAAGCACTGGGGGAAAAAATGAAAACAAAAAACCCTCCTGATGTGATTTTACTGTGAGAAATTTCATGGATACCATCTGTGTTCTAGGGACACAGCTCAGTGGTGGAGCATTTGCCCAACATGCACAAGGCCCTGGACCCCACCCCTAGCATCGCTGAGTAAATAAATGTCTTGGATAAGGTCAGAGCGTGTCCCTCAAAGGTTCATACGCTGGAGGTTTGGTTCTTGGTGTGGCAGTGTTGGGGGAGGGACCTTTAAGGGGTGGGGTCTAGTGGGAGGTAATTAGGTCACTGGGGGCATCACCTTTGGAAAGGATTAATGGTATTCTCAAGGGCCCCTAGTTAGTTCTCTCAAAAGTGGTTTCTTTTAGGGTTCAGTGCTGCAGACTGAACCCTCCAACATGTTGAAGCATGAGGGGTTTGCAAGAAAGCAATGCTATAAACCCATGCACTTGGCCTCTTGTATACACAGCTATTTCCCTTTCTGCTTCTCTGTCACGTTGTGACCCAGCCAAGAGGGTCCTCACCAGAGTCTGAACAGATGGGCCTACCCATTCTTGGATTTTCAGCCTCCAAAACTGTGAGCTTCTTTTCTTTATAAGTATCCAGCCTCAGGTATTTTGCTTATAGCAACAGCAAACAGGCAAATATACTATATACATACATACATATTCCTAAAATCAATCTGTGCATTTTCAGAACGAAATGAACACTTTTCAGAATAAGAAATTTAATATTTTTAGGAGCATTGAAGGTCTCATAAGCCCCTCCAAGATGTTTATTTTCCTCCTCCTGCCAAAGATAATTTTGATTCCAAATGTGTTAATATTTCCTTTGCTTTATGTAGAATTGTTTTATTAGGTATTTACTCCCATAGTTCTTTTACTGAGCTGTTTCGGGTTTTGGGGTTTTGTTATCATTTGTTTCTGGTATAACAGAAAGCACCTACAAATAATGATAGTTTTATTTCTTCATCTCCAGTCTATACCTGTTATTTTTCTTGTCTTATTGCAGGGGCTACAGGGTGATATTGGCTCCCTTATTACTGATGTAAAATGAAATGCTTTAAAAAGAAAGAAAGAGAAAAGAACAAAAACAAAAAAGATAAATGGAACAAACAAATAAAAAATACCAAAAAGAAGTAGGAGAAATACTTTAAACATTTCATGGCTAAACATGATCTTTGCTATGGATTTTTTTTCTAGATGACTTTTATCTGGATATTTTTTTTTTCTTTTTTGGTGTGTGTGTGTGTGTGTGTGTGTGTGTGTGTGTGTGTGTGTGATGCTGGGGATTGAAATCAGGGCCTTAATGGGAGGCAAGCACTCTACCAACTGAGCTATATCCCCAGCTTGAATTTTTTTAAAAAATTTATTTTTAGGTGTAAAAATGCCTTTATTTTTATGTGGTGCTGAGGATCGAACCCAGGTCCCGCCCATGCTAGGCGAGCACTCTACCGCTGAGCCACAATCCAGCCCCCAATTTTTTTTTTAAACTGGGGATTTAACCCAAGGATACTTAACTACTGAGCCACATTCACAGTCCTTTTTTATTATGTTTGAGACAGGGTCTTGTAAAATTGTTGAAGCTTGCAATCTTCCTATCTCAGCCTCCTGAGTCGCTGAGATTACAAGTGTGCACCCCGGCTCCCAGCTTGATTAAGAATATTTTCTTCAGGGCTGCAGGTGTAGCTCAGTGGTAGAACACTTGCCTAGCTTGGGAAAGGCCCATTCCCAGCACTGCACACAAAGAAAATTTTTTTCTTTTGTTCTAATATCCTAAGAAGATTGTTTTGAAGGAATAGATGTTGAATTTTATTGAATTTTTCTATATTGAAATGTGACTTTTTAGCTTTAATGTATTAATACCTCAAATTACGTCAATTGATTTTCCAATATTAAACCAACCTAGGATCAATGAAATTTACTTGATTTGTTTTTCTTTTTTTCTTTTTGGTTGTGCTAGGGATCAAACCCAGGGTTATTGTGATGCTATCCAAGCATTCTACCACTGAGCTATACTCCCAGTTTGTCGAAGTTTTGCAGAGTTCTTTATTTAGTATTTTTTAACTAAAAATACTGAAATGCTATTTTATATGTAATATACACAAATTCTCTCGAATGTAGATATTATTATTATTATTTTTTGGATAGATGAGGAAGCTGAGACTCAGAGATGTTACAGAAATTGCTGAAGTCACACAGCACCTCAACATTTTAGTAGCACTGTAACAAATATGCAGACCTCTCTAGACTTGAGACCATTCTGCCATTCTCCTACTATGGCATATGCCAATCAACCAAGTTAGTATTGGCTCTGACAACTCACTGTATGCCCTTGAATATGTCCCTTATCCTCCTGAGACTTTACCTTGCAGCAAACAAAATAATTGATAATGGCTCTCTGAAGAGCCATACGGAGAATTTTAAAGTGGCATCTGTAGGAAACAGTGCTTCGAGCGATTGGTACTGTCTGTCATGTCCACAGGAAGGTAAAGTAGCCAATATTTACTTACATCTCCTATGGCACAGTTGGCAAATAGTTTTTCCTCACTTTTAAACTCAAATTGGTTCAATCACCAGCGCCAAACAAAATAAAATCGAACTGATTGGTCAGGACTTCTTAGAGGAATTAATTTTAAATGATTCGGAAGCCATATACAATTTCAGCAGAAAAGGCAGCTGTGATTCCTCAGCAATGTCTGCTGTTGCCACAGAAATAGAAACAACAGCAGGAGCACATCACCTCAGCCATCCCTGGCTCAAGAGGCAATACCATAATTGTCCCCAAATACTGGGCACTCCTGTGTGGCAAGCACTGTGCAAAACACTCTACCTGCAAAATTTTTCTTTTCTTATTCATAATCCTGAGGAGATTCCCTCTCTACTCTAACACAGGAGGAAACAGAGGTTAGCAGATAGTTTTAAAATCCCAAAGATCAAGCAGAGTATCAATGATGGACAAGGGGTTTTTCATAAGAGTTTCCCTGATCTGAAGTCTGTATTTCCAACTTCCACTGACAACCAAGACTGGTGTCAGCTCTAACATTTCCCAGCTGTGTGTTCTCAGATATGCCACTTAATATTTCTAGATCTCAGCTCCAGTCTGCTGCAAACTCCAAATTCCAAGCATGGTGGCAGCAGAAGGATCTAAAGTTACATGTGGGAACAGCTGGAAAGCATTCTGTGATCGTGTCTGCCATGGGCGTAATCATCGAAAACGTAAGCAGGTTTGTTGTGTCCACCATCTCTGCCTCCTCATACTGTTATTGGTTATCATTCCACTTCACTGAGTGTCTACCATGTGCCAGGCACCGAGGAAAGGACGTTGAGGTAGCCTTTCATTTATTTTCCCAACAATCTTGAAAGACAGGAGACACAGTTGCCATTTTACAGATAAGGAAACCGAGCATACAGACATTAGGCAATAGGAATGGGGAACTCGATTTCAAACCTGGACCTGTTAAACTCCAGAGCTCTTTTACAACACTATGGCCATGTCTTGGGGTAGCTCTTCAACTCATGGGCCCAAGCGATTCTCCTGCCTCAGCCTCCAGAGTAGCTGAACTATAGGCACAAACCACAGCATCTGGCTCCCATTTACTCATATTTTTGGTAGGGGCGTCAAACTGGGGATTGAACCCAGGGGCACCTACCGCTGAGCTCCATCCCCAGCTCTATTTACTTTTAGAGACAGGGTCTCACTGAGTTACCGAGTTGCCCTCAAAATTGTGATTTTCCTGCCTCAGCCTCCTGAGTCACTGGGATTACAGATGTGTGCCACCGCACCCAGCTCATTCACTTTTTTTTTTTTTTTTTGTACCAGGAATTGGATCCCAGGGATGTTAACTACTGAGCCACATCCCCAGCCTGTTTTATTCTTTATTTTGAGACAGTCTTGCTAAGTTGCTGAGGCTAGCTTTGAATCTGCAATTGTCTTGCCTCAGCCTCCCAAGTTGCTGGGATTATAGGCATGGGCTATGGCACCTAGCTCATTCACTCTTATGAAAAGGATGCCACAGGGCTGGGGAGGTAGCTCCGCGGTAGCGTGCCTGCTTAGCCTGTATAGACAGCCTGGGTTTCATCCCCAGCACAAAAGAGAAAAACAAAAGGATAACACAGATGGTCAACTTCCCTATATCTCCAGTCAACTCAGGGCAACTGCCTGGAAGAGTACTAGGAAGGCATATCCAGGCTCAAAAAGAACGTGCATTGGTTGGTTCGCGATGTCTGCCATGGGCTTGGCCTGTGAAGCAGCCCACTCCACAGCCTGAGCTCACTGCTCTTCTAGAGAAGAGTCATGGAGTAAGAACCTGCTGGACAAGATTTTTTTTTTTTTCATGCAAAACTTCCTAGTCAATTCTCCCCAAACTGAACATTCTCCTTTCCCCAACTGACCCAAGTGAAAACCAAAACTCTGTGAGTCTCAGGGGCTTGCACAGGATGGAAGTGGTGGACCATAAATTCAGAGCCAGGTTTTGGACCCCAAAGCTCACTCTGAACACAAAGGCTAATAATAAAAATAACAGTGACACAAAACTGAGCACCTACTGTATGCCATGCCCTGAGCATTGTCTTTTATTTATTTTATTTTGTGTAGTGCTGGGGATTGAATCTAGGACTTTTCTGAATGCTAAACCTGTACTCTAGCACTGAGCTGCCATGCCAGCTCCTGGGCACTGCTATTAAATAAATGCACTCTGTTGATGAAATCTACTAATTCGATAAAGATTTGCTGAGGGATGCTGTGTGCCAGGGGCTAGCTCCACCCTCTTTACTGTTGCCTTTATAGTCATGTCACTTTTCTGGGCCTCTGTCCCTCCAAGGAAGGTATAGCATCTCCATGAGTGGAGACGCATTCTGAAGTCCCATCCAGGCTCAGCAAGGTGAAGTTCTCTGATAGGTTGATGGTATTTGCTGTGGGGGTCCAGTGAGCAATCTGTAGTATATAAGCTGCTGCTACTGGTACCCCAGATCCCAGGTTTTGAAGTCCTCCTGTGTGCCAAGTACTGACCATGTGCAGTTTTCATGGACTTCCCACAACCACACTGAAAGGTGGAGACTGTCTGCTCCATTTTTCAGATGGAAAAATGAGGGTCAGTTACAGGGACCTGTGACTCACCAAGGGTGACGGGAAGAGATGGAGGTGATGGAGTCAGCATTTGACTCCTGATCTGATGATTGCAGAGTCTATAGGGTTACAGGAGGCTGTTACCACCACTGGTGTTCCCAACTTGGATGACTTAGGAATTGACAGGGAGGGTCAGCCCAGTGCCTGGAGGCCTAGCCCACTAAGCTCACCACCACTCCTGCTCCCTCCCAGCTGTGACAGCTTAGCAGGGCCAGTGTCACATTTCCTTCTCAGCAGCTGAGCCAGCTGAGCTGATAATGGGGATCAGATAGGTGGAGGCCACATCCCTCCTCCTCCCCCCTCCCCCAGTGAATCTGTGGCCTGGGATGAGGGTAGCATGTACATCTAGGACTGGTCCACATCAGAAAATGGGGGTGAGGTTAGAAGGGAGAGGGCAGGTCAAAGACGGAGAGGAGAGGTTGACACGGAGGGGACCTTCCTTTCCAGTCTCTCCTGCTCTGCCTCTGCCTCTGCGTTTCTCCTTCCTTTGGTTTCTCTCCCCCTTTCCTCTCCATTTCTCTCTTCTCCACTGCCCCCACTGCAAGCCCTTCTTTGCCCCCTCCCCTCTCTGTGTCACTCTTTCCAACTCTTTCCCACTATTGCACCATCCATGTGATATAAGGATTTGCCATGAGCACACCTGAGACCACTCTTAAGAGACCCTCCTGCTTCCAGCCCCTTTGGCCCCCAGCTGTATCCTAGGGCCCCAGTCAGTGACAGATGCCAAGATACTGGCGACAATAGGGCATTGAGTGGCCACACACGGTAAGGCTGGGCCACCACGTGGTGCCAACTGAGCCTCCTACTTCTAGGCCCTTCTCCTTCATGCTGGGCACTCACTGTCTCAATTCATCCTCTCACTTCTCCCAGCGGGACCCTAGTATGTCTCTGCCTTAGAGTATCCCCATTGGTGTGCCCAGGCCTCCAAAAGCCTCCAAGCCCTTGGGTGACCTCTGACCACACCCTCTTCTCCTTTGTGCATTAGTTTCCCTTTTACTAATGGGGAAACAGTATAAGGCCCAGAAAGGGGAAGGAGCCAGCCTTAGGACACACAGCAGGCCAGCCAGGCTTGAGTTTCTCAGAGACAGGTGGGCGGGTACCAGGGTCCAAGAGCGGAGAGGCCCGGGCAGGGAGGGAATGCTGAACATCCCCACATCCACTGTGCTGGCCATGACTCGAAAAAGGAGCCCAGAAAGAGGCATAGGGTTCAGAGACACACACGCAGCGATCGAGAGATAGGAAGAGCGTAAAAGGGAGGCCCGGGCGCCGGGACCAGACAAAGGACGCGCGGCGGCGCGGGGAGCGGAGTCGCGCGGCAGGGGCGGGGGTGGAGCTGGGGTGGGACTATCACTGGCCAGCTCCGCCCCCGGGACACGCCCGGGCTGCCGAGTGGAAATCCGAGGGCTAGGGCGAGGCCGGGCCCCCCCGGGGCCTTAGGGGGCGGGACCTAGATGGGCGTGGTAGGGCGTGGTCAGGCAGGGCGTGGCCGGACGGGCGGGGCTGGGCGCTCGGGAGCTGACCAGCTCGGTGGCTGCTGAAAGCATCAGGCGCGGAACGAGTGGCGCGGGCGGGCGGGCGGGCGCGCTCAAGGTCACCCCGAGGCCCAGAGTCCTGGCGGGGTGGGGCGTTTGGACCTGGCCTAGGGGGTTGTCTTAGCTCCCTATCCCATCTCCCGGGAGGCTGGGGTCCAGGAGCCGGGAAGCGCCCTCCCAACACACCGCGGTCCCTTCTTTCCCCTCCCCCTCCCCGCAGCCCGAGGCGCCCGCGCGAGGCTACGGCCCGCGAAGAAGCGCCGAGAAACAAAGGGACGCGGCAGCAGCGGCGGCGGGCCCGCGGGGCCTCCGGGCGCGCCCCCTCCTCTCCCCTCCCCGCTTGCCGCAAGGTCGACGGGCTCGAGGACGAGACGCCCGCCTCTCGGGCGCGGCCAAGGCCCGGAACGCGCGATCCGACGCCACCCGCTTCTCCAAGGCTCTTGGGGATGTTCTGCCGCCTTGGCCTGACCCAACACTAGGGATGGGGCCCTGCATTTGCCGGGGCGGCCTGCGGGGTCTTGAGCCTGAATGGAGGAAGCATCCTTTGCCGCCGCGGCCCCTCCCCCATCAGGCCTTCCTTAGAGGGTGCAATCTCGCCTCCAGGGTGTCGTAGGACGCCCCCTGAGTCGCAGCCTGGCTCCCCAAGGTCTCTCAGGCCAGACTCCGAGCACCCCCAACACTCTGGGCGCGGCTCTGCCCACTCTCAGGCCCGAGGTGCGGTCCTACCCCCCCACCCGGGCCTAACTAGGCCTGGTCCTACCCCCCCACCCCCGCCATCTCCATGGTGCCTGGACCCAACCCCTTCCCACCCCAGTTCTCTCTTGGCGACAGGAGAATACCTACAGTGACCATTCTTGTGTGCCCAGCGGGCGCGGTCCGTGTTGAGGGCGGCTCCGGGGGTCGTGCACTCCTAGGGGGGCGCCCGATGCTCACGCCGGGTTCCCGCCTGGGCGGCCTCTGGTGTGGCCGCTGCAGAGGCAGCGATGAAGGCGGCGGCTCCCTCGAGGGCCAGGGACGGGCCCGAGCCCGAGGATGAGCGCGCGGATGACCGGGCCCCGGGGTGGCCTGCGGGCGGCAGAAGATGGAAAGAGGGAGCGGGCGAGGGCTTGAGGACGCCCCCTGCGCGGCCCCGCGGGGCCCGGGGAGGTTGCGCTTCCCGACAGAGATCGCGGCGCTCTGCTTTTTGCCGCTACCCCTCAGTCCGGCCTGCCCGGTCGCGGGTGCTCAGTCCTCTCCCCTCGCCCGCCCTCCCTCCCTCCCTCTGGCCCGCGCTGCGCGCTCCGCGCTTTGGGCCGCGCCGCCGCCGCCCCCAGCCCTTTATAGCAGCAGCTGCCAGCGCCGGCGTCGCTTATTGGCCAGGGCCACCGAGCCCCGCCTCCTCACGGCGCCCGACGGCGCGGCAGGTGGAAACGAACGCGCGCTGGCCTGGACTCAGCGCCTGCAAAAAGCGCATCTTGGAGACTCGGGTTGCCAGAATCTTGTCCTCCTGCCCCCGCGGACCCTGCTTCCTGCGTCGGCACCCTTTCTTAAGCGGTTTTTCTGCCCGGGAGGCCGTGTGGGCTCCCCTTTCGTCCAGCACCTAGATCTGGAGGGGCAAAGAGAAAGCGGAGGTATTGTGACTCGAATGTAAGACCTACGGAGGCACTCGTACACCGAGAGGCCTGAAAGGGTCCAGGAACCAAGATTTCAACAGAGGCTTGGGTCCCCAGATTTGGGGGGGGGGTCAGGTAGCCACGTCAGGGCCATGGTGGTATTGGTAACTAGGGTATCTCTAATCTGTTTGCGGAAGGAAGCTAAGACTGTGGATTCTGAGTGGGTTTTGTGCCTCTGGGGTTCAAAAGGTGGGCACTGGCACACTCCAATGCTGGGGAATTCCAGGATGAAGAGATTTGGGCCCCAGGAAATCACAGATCCTCCTTCTCCCTCTTTTGGTGCTGGGGATTGAACCCAAGTCCTCGAGCCTGCCAAATACGCGCTACCACTGAGCTACAACTCAAATTCTAAGATCCTTTGTAGATCTCACAAAACTCCAGTGGTGGTTCTGCCAGGTAAATGGCCTGGCTTTCTGGGCTTGTGATTGGTCCTCTTGTGGAGTTATGCTCCCTCAGCTAGGCGGGACCTGTCCTCTCTCTAAGGCAATGTGTGTAGCGCCGCTTCCTTTGGTGCGTGGGCACACTTGCGTGTTTACGTCGGGGCGGCAGCAAGGTGCAGAAGCAAGCCTTCATTGGGGTGGGGCAGGGAGCCTCCGAGCGAGACTTCAGCACCACAGACAGCGGTCCCACGGCTGTTTCGAGGGTGATACTGGCAGGTAATAGAGACCCCAATACCGGAGATTCGCAGCCCCCACCTTTTCCTTGTTCGTATATGCACCTTTAGGCTCCAGACTGTCAGAATGCCATCAGTAAGCAGAGCCTAATTTGACCAATCAGGAATGGCCCTCGAGAGAACCAATTGTTGGAAGATGCCCTAGAGATTGAGCCAATGAGAGCGCGCGCACCAGAGGGTGCTGCCACGCTGATGGAGAGGGCAGGCCAATCACAGTGGCCCGCGCAATCCGGGTGGTGGCAGTGCAGGACCCCTTGGGCTTGCTGGGACGACTTGGCTGCCAACGCTGGGGACGCCAAGCGATGGCTGCTTTCCCACCCAGTGTTCCTCTCGGCTCTTGTCGGATCGGAAGCGGTGCAGGCAATGGGGATACTCCGGGGCGCGTAGACCCGATTGCGGTTCCCATGGAAACTGCTGGCTCCCGCCGTACAGGGAGAAAAAAGGGGACTAGTTTGAGCGGGGTGAAAGGATTCGCGGGGGCAGCCTCAGCAGGACTTGCTCTTCCTCGCCACTTCCCGTGCCAAGATAAAGTAGGCCTGCGTCCAACGCAGAAACTGAGGCATAGGTGCGGCCCAACCGGGGCCAATCTGCGCGTGGCGCCACAGGGCTCCCAAGGGCACGTGCCCGGGTTCGCTGCAGCCGTCCCCTGAGTCACGTGGTGGCAGCCACCAGGGCCTACGCAGCTCGCGCGCCACCTGGCGGCCGCGCTTCATTACCCATTGCTCCCAGAAGTGGCTTCAGCAACATCCTCAGGGAAATGGGACCAAGGCAGGCACCCAATTGCTGCCAACTCCCTTTTCCCCGTGGTTATCGTATCTGGGAACAAGCAGAACGGGTTATTCCCCGGAGCTTTACATTGGCCGGCTTGATATTTACCTCTCCTAGTTTTCTTCCTGGTCTATGGACAACTACCACCTTCTCAGGGAGGCCCTCCCCGACCACCCACCTAAACAGCACGCCAGGAAACCAACACATCACTCCATTTTCTGCACAGCGCTTGACACTGGCTGTACATGTTTCATTTGGGGGATTTACTAAACACGTTCCCAGCTCCTCCTGAGGGTGGATGGGGAATGAGTGTTCCATGATAGACATTAGGAGGAGGCACCAGGATTCTAAGTCCTGGGAAATGCCTGGTGATCTCCAAGGTCCCCCAGGCCCAGGGAACGAGAAGGAGCTGAGGCTCAAAGGAAAGGATCCTCTAGGGTGTGTAGGGACATCTTCCTAACCCGGCCTTGCTCAGGAAGAGACCAGATAGGTTGGAGAGAGAGGGCCCCCTCAATCATCCAGACCTAGGGGAAGGGCATCTCCCTTCTCGCACTTTAATCTTTCTCTGCTCTCTTGACACATAGTTCAGGTAGCGCAGCCCCAGGCACCAGCTCTAGAGGGGGTTGGGGCGGGTGGGGACCTGCCCAGGGGGCCCAGCCCTGAGAGGTGTGGGGGCGCCTCCCTCCGGCCTGCGGTCTGGGCGCCCCGCGGCTGTCCAGGACCAGACAGGCCTGAGTGCAATGTCCGAGTGGACGAATAAATAGGGGCGGTCAGTGGTCGAGTATGTCAGGTAGGCTTGTGGTCCGGGTGGCTTTTGAGCGTGTGGAACTTGACACTGTCAAGCTTCTCAAAGCGCTTCCCGCATCGCTCGCACGTGAAATTGTATTGAACCTCGGCTGTGTGCTTCTTCATGTGCCAGTTGAGCGAGGCGCGCTGCCTGCACTGGTAGCCGCAGATCTCACACCTGGCGAAAAGTAAGAACTGGTGGGTCAGTGGGTGGGACTAGGGGGGCTGGCAGCCTACAGAAAGGGGAGGTGCCGTTGCGGTGATTGCACAGATGGAACTGCATGGAGGGAAAGCCTGTGGATGCCACTAGGTGGGCTCCCCAACCTCCCAGACCCTTTGGGGGACAGCCTGTCACTCACTGCAGGGGCGTTTCACCCGTGTGTGTGCGCCGGTGAACCTCCAGGTGGTTCTTCCTCTTGAAGGACTTGCCACAGGTCTCGCAGGTGAACTCACGGACACCTGGGGGCAGAAGAGATGTGACTGAGGATGCTGCCACTGGGAAGGGGGCGCAAGCCGGTTTCCCCCAGTGCTGACCGGCCCAACCCCATGGCTTCCCAGGGCTCAAAAAATGTCAACCTATAATGACAGCAAATGATATGAAGTGGCAGCACATCACCCAGTCACAGGTCCAAGCACAGCTGGGGTTCAAACTTTGGTCTCTAAGGGGCACAGGATACAAAATGTCAAGATGGATCTGAATTTGTCCCCAGTGTTTGAACTTTGGGTAATTTCACATAAAAACCCAAAGTTGTGGCTTCTCAAAATATTGGGGGCTCTGAACCTCAGAGCTGTGCCCTCCAGCTTCCCCAGCCATACAGAAGTATCAAATCTTGCCCTGGGGTAAACCCGGAAGTCCAGTCCTAAACTCTGCCCAACTCTCCTCCCTCCTGTGGCCTGGGTGGCCCCACCGGCTCCCATTTATGACCTGGGGTGCTGCTCTAGGACACACCTGGAGGAGAGATGGTGGTATCACCTTTGGTGTTTAGTATTTCTGAAATATTGGCTTTTATTTTTTAAAGCAACTTGGGTTTTTCAGGGTGGGGACAGTGATTTAAAAAAAAAAAAAAAAAACTACTGTGATATGGCAGGCATTCTGAGGGCTCATCAGAAGTTGGTTCACTGTCCCTGCTCCACCCCGAAGTCCTGCATGAAATCTTGTCAAGGGCCTGGGCAGAAGAGTCAGGTCCTGCCAGGCCCACCTATGTCACTATGGTTCGGCTTACTGAGCACATGGAGGCTCCAAGAGGGGTAGTCCTGTGTCTGAGGCACTAGTGCTGAGGTTTAACCTTGGCTGCTCCAGCCCTGGCTCCCAAGTCCCTGCCTGTGTCCCCAGCTGGTCCTGCCAGCTGGCCCAGGGCCTGACCTGAATGGATGATCATGTGTCGCCGCAGGTGATTGGATAAATAGAACTTCTTGCCACAGCCAGGGTGAGGGCACACTTTGGTCTTCCCTTTCCGGTGCACGAGGTTGACATGGTTCTGGGGGCAAGAGGGGCAGGAATGGGTGCTAGGCCCACCTGAGGGGCTCCTGAAGGTAGGGGAAAAGAGGGCTGCTGGGAGGTAAGCAGGATCAGCTTAGGCAGCTAAGAGGGAAGGGTGCTCTTGCCCAGCTTCCAGACTGCTACAGGTACACATGGCACACAGAGCAGGTTTACCAAACACCTGCTGTGCCAGGCTCTGGACTGGAATATCCATTAACCCTGGGAAGGGCCTGGTGACCATCAGCTCAGTTATAGACAGGGAAACGAAGGTTGCAGAGGCTCAGTGGTTGGAATCATGTCTCAGAGGTGGGAGTGGAAGGACTAGGATGGAATCCAGGGATGTCATGTGCTATGCTGTCCCTGGGCATTTAATTCATTCACTCCTTTGTTCTTTCATTTTTTAAAACTCACTAGATGGTCTTATACACAGTAGGTGTTCAATTCATGCTTAATGAGAACACGGCTTGGCAAATCCAAAGGCCTACTAATCCTGCCTTCTATGCCAGGTGTGGGGATATAACAAAACCCCATCTCTGCCGTCAGGGTTCCAAATCCAGTCTTCAGCGGGCAAACTACAGATCCAGCCTCCTGGTGGTACAGTGACTCAAGTCTCCCAGGCCTGACTGGCCCTGGGGGCTGGAATGGCTTGCTGATGGAGAGCCACGGGGACGAAGCACACGGAGCTAAGAGCAAGAGCATGGCCAGGGCAAGGCGGGAGGAGTTCAGGAGGTCAGGAGAGGAGGAACTGGGAGCAGGCAATAATGCCTGATCTCTGTGGGAAGAGATGGCTGAGGCCGTGAGGGGTCTGACAAGGTATCAGGATGCACAGAGGATTTGAAGGAAGCTCCTGAGACCAGTTGGGGCCAGATGGGCTCATGAAGATGAATCACAGGCCAGT